CAGAGCTGGGCAAACACTGCCCCATCACGGCAAGAGAGCGAGGGCGCACAGCCAGCGACTGTTCTGGAGCTTTCCAAGGCGCCACCGGCTCTCGCTCGCTTCTGGAGTACTTCCTATCGACAAATGCAGCCCGGCCCCCTCTGGCCCCGGACCCCGCCAGCTCTGCCACCCACCTCTTGGCCTGTTCATCTCTCTGTGAGCTTGTGGTCCACCTCGCGCCTTCGCTGGCCCAGCGCTGGGGAGGGGTGTGTGCTCCCAGAGCCCCACTGAGCCTGCTGCACCGCCACACAGCACCTGCCCAGGGTCCAGCACCCAGGGCCCGGCCAGCTTCTGCGGGGAGGCGGCAGGCACCTGGGTGAGGGGAAAAGCCAGAAACCCCAGAACCGCCTGCCGTGCTCCAGTGACGGCACCGTGAGGGCTGGCCCAGCGCCCCTGCTGCCAGCTCCCAGGATGCACCTTCCACCCCAGAACAGCCGCCTCAGGGCTGCTGAGGGGTGGGCGGACAGGAGGTGGTGAAGATCTGGGCAGGCAGCAGGGGGTGGCCAGGGCAGCCACCACCCCACAGCACTCCTGCTGCTGCCGGAAACTTCCCAGCTCCCCAGCCCCCCAGCCCCCCACGGCCTGCCCACCTGTCCACAAACCAGGCAGAGAGCACAGTCCCGCCAGCAGGATGGTGCCCATTGCGGGATGCACCGAGGCTGGGGGACACGGAGGCCCCCAGAGCCACCCCTGCCAGTGGCCCACAGCAGGCAGATTCTGGGCTCACACCCACCAGGGCCTGGCCGCCAGGAGCTGGTCTCTGGGGCCCTCCGCTGGCCGAACCTGGCAGCACCCCCAGAGCTCAGCACCCTGCTAGGGTGGCACTTGTGGTCCAGGGGCTTGTCGGTCCGAGGGCTGCACTCCCACTGCCCAAGCAGAGCCCTGGTCCACCTGCCTGTCTGTCCAAAGGCCCCCCGGGGTCCCCTAGGCTGACCCAATGCTGAGGGCACGAGGGGCAGGTGTGAGCCCATGGGGCCACCCAAGCTGTGCCCACCAGTGTCCCTGCCTTTCTCCAGGCCCGTGGCCACAGGAGGGAGGTGAGTTCCTGGCAGGGAGGCCTCCCCCTTCCCTGGAGGGCGGGGTCCTCGCCAGGCAGCCAGGCAGGGAAGGGGCAGGCCTGTGGAGACCCCACCCAGTCCTCCCCAAGGCCCTTGCTTCACTGCTGCTGGAGCTCCGGCTGGGGAGGGGTCCACACTGCCCGGCCAGAGTCAGGGTGGGGACAGCCTCAAGTCCATGCCACCAACACTCGCTTTGCACACTGACCTCTGCGGGAAGCCAGGTGCCCACGCTCCTGCCCCCTGCCAGGGGGTGTCCACCAGCCACAGCCAGCACAAGCAGCATCACAGAGTTTCCTGACTGCACTCGGCCTGGTGAGCCTCCACCCCACTAGGACCTCTGGCTCGGGAGGCACTTGGCCACACCTGGCCCGGCAGCGGGCCCCCTGGGCACAGCAGCAGCCCCCAGGCCCTGGCCCCCCACAGTGGGCAGGGCTGCACAGTGGGCCTACAGGGCTGCAGCTGTGCCCTGTGGGAGGGAGGGAGCCTGCAAAGGTGGTTGCAGGGCAGGGCAGGGGCCGCCTGCCCACCCTGGGCCTATGGGGCCCCTGGCTCAGAGGCCTTGCTCCTGGTCTTGAGTCTGTGCCAGGGTGGCCCTTGCTGCCCTCCGGTGGGTGCTGGGCATGGCCTGCTTGGGTCTACTTCAGGAGATTCTGGAGTGGGATCCTGGCCCCCAGCCAGTGTGTGGCCCTGGGCAGTGTCCAGCAACCTCAGGACAACCGAGGGGTGGGCAGCAGAGGTAGCTCTCAGGCACCTTTCCTGGCCACCTACCCTGCCAAGTTGGGGAACCTTGAGGGCTCCCTCCTTCATGGGAGGGAACGTCAAGAAGCCACAGACCCTGCACCCCGGGGCCAGCTGGCTCAGGGGGCTGAGGGTGCCTCGGCACTGGCCTCTCAGACACCTGGCCCCAAACACAGAGGACCCTACTCCTGGCCTAAGCAGAGCAGCCTCCCCAGGGAGATGCCCAGGGCCCAGGATGTGGAAGGCTCCTGGAGTGTCTCCCTCAATCTGGGAGGATGCTAGCCAGCTCGGATGCCTCCTGACCCAGGGCCACCTTCAAATGACCCCCACCAGGCATTGCTTACAGGGCATCCAAGAAACCAAGCACACTGCTGGCCAAGGGTCAGGAGTGGCCAGTGGCACCAGGTGCCAGCATCTGTCCTCCATCTGCACCTCCCCAGGGCCAGCTCCCTGCGCTCCTGAGGCTGCACGGAGGACAGGCTGGGGATTCTCATGGCCACAGGACACAGAGGCCCTGGTCTACGCTGCAGTGAACAGCCAAACAAAGACTCCCAAGCCCCTCCCAGGGGGAAGGGCCAGCGGGGCCTCCAGGTGCACCCTGCTCTCTGGGGGTGTCACCTGGAGGGGTGCAGGAGGCAGGGTGGAGTGCCTCGGGACCCTTCAAGATGGCCCCCGAATTGGTAGGAGGGACAAAGGGCCAGAGTCTCCATTCCTGTTAGTATTTACGATTTTGTAGAGGGCCAGAGCTGGGGGCTGGGTGTGAGTGGAACGGGTGGAGCCCGGCGTGGGCAGACCCAGGAGGTCCTGGGTGCTCTGTGCGTCTCAGTTGTTCAGAGATATTTCTCTCCTTACGCCCAGATTCCTATCTCAGCCCCGAGTCCCAAGCCGAGTGGGCAGACCTGCCAGAGACCCCATCCCTGGGCCCCAGAGAGGCAGGTGCAGCCAGGAGAAGGGGGCAGGGGCCAGCCAGCACACTGCTGGGTCCTGGCAGGGACGCAGGCCCTGGACACAAGCCCTGACTCACACGCCTCGCACTTGTGCGGCTGGCTGCCCAGAGAGCCCACGTGTGCCACCATTGCCACCGTCTAACCACAGAACCTCCCTGTCCCCCGTTAGGGTTTGGATGGGAGCCGTCTCCCAAAAGCTCATGCGAGAGACAGTGCAAGGACGTCCAGAGGAGAAACGGCAGCCTGCGGGAGCCCCGGCCTGTCAGGAGCTGCCCTTCTGCCGAGGCCTTTAAGTCCTGATGCACTGGGGTTCTGCCCCCCAGTAGCTTGGGCTTTACTTCCGCCTGGACGATGAGGCCTGCGCCAGGAGAGGGCGTCGCCCGGTGGCTGGCCCTTTGCCCTTTGGGGGACAGGATGTCCATGGACAGCCTCCCCCAGTGAGGCCCGGGCTGAGGCGGGCTCTTTCTTGCCGCCTGGCTTCCTTTGTGGGAGCTGGGACAAGGAGCCATCCAGAGCCCACTTCTCTGTCTCTGTGGGAGGACTTTGTGCAGCCCAGTTCCCCTAAGTGACCCTGACTGGTCTGGTCCTGCGTTCTGACACTGCCCTAATCAACCAGTCAGTCCACTTGAATGCACTGTGTGGTAGCCGTGTGCAGGTGGCCACGGGTCACCTGGGTGTGCCTTTGGGGTTTATTCTTTGTCCCTGGTGAGTCAAGCTTAGCGTCTGCTTCCTGGTGGCCGTGTCCTGAGCTGCTTTCTCCTGGCACACCCTTGTGCCATGATGTTCTGCCGCACCTGGGCCCGGAGCAACAGTGACCTCGGAAACGTGAGCCAAATTAACCTTTCCTCCTCTAAAGTTGTTCTCGTCAGGTCTTTTGGTCACAGCGGCGAAAAATCTGACCGAAACATCACCCGAAAAGTGATGAGCCCCACACCAAGCAGCAGTCGCTTCTCCTTGATGCCAGACACTGGGGTTTTTTGACCTGCCGAGGACGGAGGGAAATGAAGTCAGGGTGAGCACAGGCAAGGTGGATGTGTGGTGATGGCTTCAGGCGCAGCTGGCTCAAGCGCATCCCTGTGCTGAGGACAAGGCACATGGCCTGCAAAGACCCTGGTTCGGGGGCAGCACACATCAAGCCCTGGGGCTGCTGTCCACTGTGAGCGGAGGCCAAGGGGTATTCTTGTCCTTTGTGGTGCTGGCCCCTGACTTACAAGGTGAGCACCCATGGAACATGGGCGAGGGAGGACTCCCTCCAGGAAGGGGAGGTGGCACGCAGTTCAGGTATACACCCACAGTTGGCATGATTTCCTTGAATTCTCCAAAGTCCATTTTGCAAGTGAAGATGCAGGCTCAGGGAGGTTAAGTAGAAGCCCTTGGGTCACACAGGTGGGAGTATCAACCATAAATCTAAGTAAAGTGGCCTCAGATCACAGGTCCAATGGTCCCACAGGGCCCAGCCCAGCCCAGGAAGGAAGGCAGCCTGGCAGGAAGGTGAGTCAGTCTCTGTTACAACTAAATCTGGCTCCTTGAGTTGGGTGCTGTGATGGTCAATCTCATGTGTCACCTTGGCTAGGTCTGGTGCCCAGAGATGTGGCCTGTCACATGTCTCAGTGAAGTTTTTTTTTTTTTTTTAATTGTAGACGGACACAATACTTTTATTTAGTTTTATGTGGCGCTGAGGCTGGAACCCAGCATGGCACACGTGCGAGGCAGCCCCGGCCTCGACAGTGAAGGTCAATATTTCAATCAGTAGCTGTGCAGTAAAGCCAAAGATCCCCCACGTGGGTGGGTCTCATCCAATCTGTTGAAGGCCCCCCCAAAGAGAAAGGCAGAGGCGGGGACCAGGATGGGATTCCACCTGCAGAGGCCTTGGGAGTCAAGTGCAGTCCTCCGCGAGTGCCCCTGTCGGCTGGCCTGCAGGGTGCACACTGGCCAGGCCCATGGCCTCATGCCGGCTCCTGAAAATCCTCGCCGGTCTGTAGGCACAGAGGCCTGTTGGGTCGGGAGAGGACCCGGCCACCCCGCAACGGGCCGGAGGGGCGTGGCCGGGGTGTGGGGGAGGCGTGGCCGGGTCTACGGACGGGGGCGTGGCCGGGTCTGTGGTCGGGCGTGGGGCGTGGTCAGGCCTCTGGGATTAGGAGGGCCCTGCCGCTGGTCAAACCCGGCCCAGTCACGGCAGAGCCCGACCCCACCAGCGCCAGCCGGTGTCCTCGCCGCCATGCGTTCGCTTGGGGACCAGGTGCGCGACTGGCACCTGGGCGCACAGGCTGTGGCGCGCGGGGACTGGAGCAGTGCGCTGCGCCTCTTCTCGGGCATCTCAGAGCAGCCCGCTAGGATTTGCTTCAACATGGGCTGCGTGCATCTGCTGGCCGGGGACCCCGAGGCCGCGCTGCGGGTGAGCGCCCCAGGACTGGTGGCAGAGACCTGTCCCTGGGGAGGTCCATGAGGGGTGGCCCCCTGGGGGTTCCCTACCCTTCCTCCCTGAGGCTAACATGGGGGTTCTCCCTCCCAGTGCTCCTCCTGAGGGAATGCCTAAGGCAGCAGGGAGCTGTGTGTTCCAGGGACCCCTGAGCCGTCAAGACCAGAATGGGGTGCCTGTCCTGCCCCAGGCCAGCCACAGCAGTCATCCTGAAAAGCCAGGGCCAGCACTGGCTCTGGGCTCAGGCCCAGGGTGGGACGTGGGGACTGCCTGCCGCCTGTGGAGGGAGCCCGAGCTCAGGGTGCCATAGCTCACACCCGCCTCAGGAGGCTGCAGGCTCCCTGGCTCCCTCTACTTTGTAAACGCTTCATGTTGGTCACTGTCACAGTGGGGCCTGCTCTTGGATGTGTGACAAAGGCCAGCCGCACTCTGCCCACCACTCAGATGACAGGTTTCCACAGTTGTTGGGATGAGCAGTGGCACCTGCCTGGATGCACTGCAGGCAGGAAGCAGAAAGAACCAGACAGGGTGGGTGAGGGCGCCCACTGCCCCCACAGAGCACCTGCCCAGAGGCAGGGCCAAGAGTAGAATCCCCGTTACTTCCTCCACCTGCATCTGCACCCCTGGCTGTCCCAGTAACAAACAGTCCCATTTCCAGGTGCCATTCAAGCAAGGGAGTTTAGCCCTGGCTACTGGTGGGAGGGCCTCGAGTGACGTTGGGCTAAGCCAGGCTTCCTTCATGAACAGGTGGAGGGCGTCAGGCTGTAAGTCCTCCACCGTGAGAGGACAGGGTCCTGTCTAAAGCCAGCAAAATAGGATGCAACAGCACAGGCATGCTAGTTAGAGGTGTGAAAAAAAGTAGAAGGAGCCTCCACCGTGAGTAAAACCTTCTGGGAGGGGGACAGTTGACCAGGGTGTAGCTGAACTGCTGCCCGTTGGTGTGAAACTTGCACAATGTTTGCTTTGGCTGCTGGGTGTGGTGGGATAGCAAACATGAACAGCCACCCCACCTGCAAACCCAGGTCAAACCCAGTGAAACAACAGGCTCTTCTCTGGTACAGATTGCTGGAATGAGAAACAACCCTTTTACTGCCTGTATTTAACTGATGGCTGCTGTCCCCTTGGGAACGTAGGGTTATTTCGGAGACTGGTTTGAGGAAGAGCTGTGCTTCCCACATGATCAGCCTCTCATGCTGACACTTCATTGTTCTGACTGTGATTGATACCTAGTATGACCTCGTTTGTGAACTACCAAAAAAGCGTTTTAACAAGACAAGATTCTCATGTCCCCTCCACCGAGGCAGCTGTTACTGGCACTGGAGCGTTCCTCCTAGCTTCTCTCTGTGCTCATGGTGGGCTTTCAACATACCTGGGGGGCCCTGCCCTGTCTCAGTCTGGTGTCGGGTGGCAGCAACCCTGAAGGCATAGGCAGGTGGGAGGGGCCTGCTGACGGCTCTGGGGCCAGTGGAATCCCACGTCCATCAGAAGCACTGGGTTCTGGGCCTTGGCATTCTTGTGCATTTTGATTCCAGGCATTTGACCAAGCAGTGACGAAGGACCCCTGCATGGCTGTTGGGTTTCTCCAGCGAGGAGTGGCCAACTTCCAGCTGGAGAGGTGAGCCCAGGCCCCTTGAGTAAGCCCAGTCTGTTCTTCCTCCTCTGTCCCCTGGTCCCCAGCCTGGGGAGGGACTCTGTGGTCTTGCGGAGATGCACAGCAGGCCCACACGACCCTTCTCTGCCGTGACTCACAGGCACTTTCCCAACCCTTTGGTTCTCTCCTCATCACATCTGTAGAAGCAGGACCTTCTGATTGTGCCCATTTCTCAGAGGTGGAAAATGAGGGCTTGATCCAGGATATTTGTGGCCACACGACTTTGTACCATGTCCTTCCTAGAGGAGAAACCAGGGAGGGTGGCCTTCAGGCTGCAGGCTTTGATCAGCCTGGAAAGCTGGCCGGGGGGAGGTGGGATGTCTGGTGGGGCTGGGGGATCTCCCAGCAGGAGCTGGAAATCCGAAATTTGGAGGGGGAAGGCCCCAGGGTGTGTGCCTGAGCACTGTGCATGGTAGCGACCCACAGGCCTGCAGAAAGGTGAGCAGAGCTGAGCAGCAAAGTCAGGCTGCAGCCCCACCTCATCTTCCTGGCACCTTGGTGCACCCATCCCTTGAGCTGTTTGCCTGGCCCCGAGTGCCCAAGGCATGAGGTCTTCCCAAGCCACAGCAGGGCCAGTGCCCCCAGACGTCCCTCACAGGCTTAACCTTGCAGCTGCTGAGGGGCCCTGCTCCCCCCAGGTTCCAGGGGGCCCTGTCCGACTTCCAGCTGGCCCTGGCACAGCTGAGGGGCAACACTGTCATCGACTACACACAGCTGGGCCTGCGCTTCAGGCTGCAGGCTTGGGAGGTGAGCGGGCACAGGGTTGTGTGGGGTGTGGCTGCCCAGGCTGCCATCTTGGGCTCTGCAGGTGCTGTCTGTGGGCCTGGGCTGCTGCGGGTGGTGCTCCTGTCTTGGTGGGCCGTGGACGGTGAGCCCTGAGGCCTAAGGCCCTGAGGAGGGCTGGTGGTGATGTGGACGGACCACTCCAGGCCTTGGGCACACACAAGGCAGGGAAGGGCTGGGGACGGGTGCAAGCTCGGAGGCCCGGTGTGGATTGGGGCAGGGTGTCCCAGAGCCAAGGCTCTGCTTGATCCTGATCCTGGTTGCCAGGATCAGGGCTGGCACAGGGAAGGGCACTTAGCAGAGCCCCATGGTTCCCAGGAGTCCCTGCTTGGAGGTCTGTGGGGACAACGTGAGTCATGACAAAGTCATCATGGGGCAGCCCAGCCGGTGTGGGTCCAGAAGCCAGGGTCCAAAGCCCAGAGCACTACGTGGTGCTGGGTGGTGGTCCTCCTGGGCCCAGAGGACAGACACCAGCTGCAGGAACTCAGGTTCCACCTGGCAGTCTTGGGGACAGAGGACCACTGGAAGGGCCAGTGGATTTCCCCGTTGAAGCAGCCAGGTTGACTAGGCACTCTGCTGTGGAGGCCAGGGGCAAGGGGCCCAGAGTACCATGGAACTTGGTGTGTCCCTGATGCTGTGGGCAGCCTGACCCAACCCATCCTGTCCATTGCAAAATGGGTTCTGAGAGTCCCCTCGGCCCCTGCAGGACCTTCCTCAGACTTGCAGGTACAGGGAACAGGGCATGGGAGGGTGTGCAGGCCGGGCACAGTCCAGGGAGAGAAGCTCTAATGTCCAAAGCAGAAGATGATGCCCCAGAGCAAAGTAGGGTATTGCCAGAGGCTGAGCTGGGTACAGGGCAGGGCCACCTGACTGTCCATGACTGGGCTGGGTGGCCACAGGCAACCTGGTCTCTGGCCACAGTCCCCATGTCAGCTGGGCACCAGAAGCACCCTCAGCTGCTGTGGCTGGGGAGCCCATGTGGGGAGTGGGTGGGCCAGAGGGTTCAGGGGTAGGATCTGGCCCCTGCCATCCCTCACCCTCACTCCCAGGTGCTGTTCAATGTGGCATCTGCACAGTGCCAACTAGGGCTGTGGACCCAGGCTGCTGACACCCTGGTGGAGGCCATCTCCAAGTGGCCAGAGAGGGCCCAAGACGGCCTGGACACTGCTTTGAACCAAGTGCAGGTGAGGAGGTCAGGTGTGGAAGAGAGGTGAGGGTGCTGGCCCTGGACAGGCCACCTGTGGCCTACAGCTGGGGCTGGTGTTGACAGCTCAGCCCCTTGAGGGCTACTGTGTGACAAGAAGAAGCTCTTCAGGGAGGTGGCTGTGGGACAGGCAGGGTCTAAGTGGCTCCTGCCCCTGCTGCTGGCCAGCCACTAAGGTCTGCAATGACTCTATCCCAGAAACAGGCTACCCTACAGCCCCGACAGGTTCCCAGGGGCGAGGTGTTCCGGCCCCCCCGGCGGCACCTGGAGCATCTGCAGCCAGTGGACTTCCTGGGCACGGCCAAGGTAGAGTGTGTGCAGGCCCCTCCCCAGCCCGGGCTCGGACCAGGGCCCGCTGAGCTCTAGTGCGGCTGCGCTCCTGCACTGAGCCGCAGCTGTATGCCTGGGGACACCTGGGGTCCAGTCAAGGCCACTGGAAGGCCCTCAAACTGACTTGAGTGTTAGGGGATGGCATCCCCAGTGGGGCTGTGGGCCTGGAGCCAGGACCCAGGAAGCCCGCTGTGGAGGAGGCCGGCAGCGGCCACGCCTTGCCCCTGCCTCTGTCTGCCATACACAGGAGGGTAGGGTGGGACCCAGATGGCTGTCCTGGGCTGTACCATATCCCCTCCCTGGGTCGGGGGCCAGCAGCGACTCCAGATCACAGGGTACTGGGAGAGGTTCCCCTCTGAAGGCAGGAAGAGGGATTTGGGGCGATGGCATTTCCCAGCATCACAAAGAAGAGCACCTTGCTTTTGCACTGGTGGCCCTTAGACTGGCGTGTACCTGTGGTCACTTACAGCAGCACTCAGCCAGTACACTACTGTGCAGCTGCACATGGCATGTGCCACCCACAGACGTCCCTGGGGCAGGCCAGGGCAGGGAGAAGGGGCTGTGTCCAAGCAGCCATTTGCAGTCCTCCTTCCACAATACAGGACTGTCACAAGAAACAAAAAATATTTTGAAACTTGTACTAAAAATATTAAAATGATCAGCATGGCTGCTGGACATGGTGGCACATGCCTGTAACCCCAGCACCTTGGGAGGCTGAGGCAGGAGGATCATAAGTTCAAGGCCTTGGGGCTGGAGGGCACGGGCTCCTGCCCTCCCCTGGACAGGCATCACTCCGGCTTGCTCCCTGGCTCCCAGGCTCCCAGCCCCAGGCCTGGGTGGGGTGGGTGGAGGAAGGCACAGCAGCCAGAAGCCAGGAGCAAAGCCTTAGGGCTGGGATTGTGGCTCAGCGGCAGGGCGTTCACCTAGCATGTGCGAGGCCCTGGGTTCGATCCTCAGCACCACATAAAAATAAATAAAATAAAGGTTGTGTTCAACTACAACTAAAAACTAAATATAAAAAAAAAAAAAATAAGTTCAAGGCCAGCCTCAGCAACTTAGCAAGACCCTATCTCAAAATAAAAAGAGCTGGGGTGTAGCTCAGTGGTAGAGCACCACTGGGTTCAATCCCCAGCACCATAAAGAAATCATCAGCACAGAAATGTCTCTTTTTTCCCCCGCGGTAGTGGTCCAGCAGTCTAAAGCCAGGCCTGGGCAGCCCCCAGCTGGGAGGTGCTGGAGGTGCAGACCCCAGTGGGTCTGAGTGTGCCCCTGTCGCCCCCAGGTGGTAGTGTCTGCCATCCCCAGTGACCAGCACTCAGGTCTCCAGCCTCAGCAGGTGAGTGACCATCCAGCAGGCCAGGCCTGCATTTGCCTGGCTTTTGGTAAGGAGAGAACACTGCGGYGGGACCACGGTTCTGCTCTGTCCCCCTGCCCGGGGCCCCCAGCCTCCCCTAGTGGGAGGTGGGAGTGGCCGTCCCACTGGCATGAGGACCTGTAAGGACATGCAGTCTTGAGGTTTGGGGCAGAGGAGCCGCCTGTTTGTCTCCCATTCTTGGCCAGGCCAGGTGAGGATGTCCCTTTGTGCCCACAGGGATGGAGAGCTGACAGCAAAGCTGGTCTGGAGACTGCACCATGGTAGGAAGGGGCTGGGCGTGGCCATTCCTGCCCAGGGACAGGACTGTCCCCACCTGTTTATAGATTGAAACTGGCTAGATGCCTGGGTGCCAGAAAAGGGGCCCCGGCCTCCCTCAGCCTACCCTGTCTCCTGCCACAAAACTCCCCCTTGGAGAGGTGGGCACACGGGGGGAGGCCGAGACTCACCGAGTCACTGTGACTCCAGGCGCAGCAAGGGAGGCGGGATGAGGGTCAGGACTGAGCTGTCCAGGGAGGGGACTCAGTGACATGACTTGCCTGGGGCAGGGCTTGTACTGCATTTGACAGAAGGGGCTGCTGAGACGATGACAGAAAGGTCCTGGGCTCTGGGAGGGCAGGGCTGTAAGCCCGCACCGGCTAGGCCTGAGTTGTGGCCCCCTGCCCAGGGCCCGAGGCTTAGACCGCCAGAGAGCTGGCGCCCACCGCAGTCCTGACCCTGCAGAGACTTTGGACCAGGAGGTGGCTTCGGACCAGGCGCCGCAGGCTGAGCTCTTCGTGCCAGGCATCAGCTGCGAGCCAGCGCGTGAGCCCGGGGTGCGTGGGGCAGCCTCCTCACTGGCTGGGCCAGGGATGTGGTAGGAATCTCCCTGTGGGCCCCCAGGAGTGCAGCCTGGGCGCAGTCGGAGGCAGGCAGCCTGGAGGGCACGGGCTCCTGCCCTCCCCTGGACAGGCATCACTCCGGCTGGCTCCCTGGCTCTCAGGCTCCCAGCCCCAGGCCGGGTGGGGTGGGTGGAGGAAGGCACACGCAGCCGGAAGCCAGGAGCAGGGCCTGGTGGAGCCTGTGCCTGGGTGTCCTGAGAGCGGCCACCCTCGCTTTCTCGTCAGTGTCCTATTCATTCAGCCTCGGCTCAGTGTCCCTCTTAACAGCTGCACTCAGCCGCTTCAGTGCTTAGAACTGCACCTAAGTTCACTCACTGGGCCTCATGCCCGATGCCCTGACCTGGCCCTTCCTAGTGGCTTGGTGGGTCTCAGGAGGTCCCAGAGCTGGTGGTCAGTGCCCTGAATTCATCCTCGAGGGTTTGACTTGTGGCCTGCTGCCAGCAGCCCTGCTCTCAGGCCACACTATCACACTGGCTGACCAGGACAGAGCCCAGGGCCCTGACAAGCCCCAGGCAGGGAGAGCCACCTCAAGGCCAGGGCCCCCCAGCCCAGAACCCCAGCCTGTGACTTCCCTTGCAGGGGCACCAGGTGGAGCCAAGGGGCAATAAGACACCTGCACCCACAGGTAGGGGGTCCTGAGTGCAAGGCGCTCAGTGGACAGAGCCGGGCCTGGCCTTTGTCCTGCAAGGCAAGCTGCCCACCTGCCCACTAGCCAGTCCTCTACCCCAAGATGTCTCCATTGGGAACAGATGGCCACACGAGCCCTGCTTTATTCCACAGGGCCACCAGTATCTGGGGGGCCTGGTCCCAGTGCCTGTGAGGACCCCTTGGGTGCTGGGGTAAGAGATAAAGCTGCCTGCCCCTCCCAGGCCTCACCCAGCCCCCAGTCTCTGCCCTCACCCTTGGGCCTGAAGCCCACCCTGGCCAGGCCTGATGCCACTTCTCCTGGCCTCAGGAAGCAGGTGCAGAAGGCCCTGAGTCCTCTGTGACTGTCACCGTGCAGTGTGCCTTCACAGTGGCCCTGAAGGCCCCAAGAGGAGCTGATCTGTCCCACCTGCGGGCACTGCTGGCTCAGGCCCTCCCGCACCAGGCCCAGCAGGGGCAGTTCAGGTCAGCCAGAAAGGCCCCGTGATGCGAACTGGAAGGGACAGGATGGGTGTGGGGTGGGTCCTGAGCTGAGGAGTAGGTGGGGCACCCTCCGGTCAAGGCAGGGACCAAACTGGCTTCCCCAGTCCAGGTCTTGGGTCCTGGAAGGTAGAGAGGGAACTGGCCGCAGGGGTCAGCTCCCCAGGGCATATCTAGGCCCTGCCCAGGGTCACCCTCTTGGCCCACCCTGGGGACATTTTGCAGTTACCGAGCCCCCAACGATGCTGGACCGTGGACCCCCCTCCCTGGGGAGGAGCAGCTGCAGAGTGCCTGGAGGGACGCGGCCTTGGGGCCCCGAGGGCTGCAGCTCCAGTGCCGGGTGAGGCGGGGCAGAGTGTGGGTGGCCGCGGGCAGCATGGGGCACCCTCCTCCTGAGCCACCCCTAGCCCACTCTCCTGCCACAGGGGGCTGGGGGCCGTCCAGTCCTCCGCCAGGTGGTGGCCCAGCATGACTACCTGGCCCAGGGGCCAGAGGACCTGGACCTCCGTCGCGGGGATGTGGTGGACGTCCTGTGTGAAGGTAGTCGGGCACAGCCCTTCCCTGGCACTGTGGGGGCTGCCCAGGCACAGGGTGCTGCTGGGCTGAGTGTCACCCACGTGTCTCACAGTGGACGAGGCGTGGCTGGAGGGCCACCTGGATGGCCGCATTGGCATTTTCCCCAAGTGCTTCGTGGTGGCAGACAGCGCCTGTGAGGAGCCCCCACCCGGCCCCAGACCCCAGGCCCAAGCCGACCAGGAAAGACTTTAATAAACTGTCCCTACCACGTGGTCTGTGTTTTGGATAGGCCAGCAGAGGGTGTGGGGGATGGGAACTGGCCCCTCTTTGGATCACAGTGGGCAGCCACAGCCCCCTCCCTCCCCAGGCAAATGGGGACCCAGGGAGTCCAGCCTCCCTCCCATGATCACCCCCACACAGCCTGGGTGCTGCCGGGCACCACCTGGGTTTGTGCAGAGAGGCCCGCTGTCTGGGGAGCCACACACCGGCCAGCACAACTGGGTGACATGAGGTGGGGGACAGGAGGCCTGGCTTCCGGGAGGCGGTGGCTGTGCCGGACTTGGCCACCCAGTCCTGTGTGGAGTCCGGCTTGCTGTCCAAGGGACGGCTCCTGGACATCAAGGACCTGGCGATGGCTCCCAGCTGAGCCCTGAGGGCATCCTGTTGGACGTCTGGCTCTCTGGGCCCCGCCTAGTCCTGGACCCAGAGGAGCTGCACCGCAGCAGCCCCCAGAATGGCTGTGAGGGTCAGCACCACAAACACCACGCCGGCCACCCAGACGCCATAGCTCTGTGCCCGCCACTGGGCTGGCGCCTCGGCCGGGATCATGCCCGTCAGGTTCAGCATGTAGCCCAGTGTCCAGCCGATGTCAGTGCCACCAGCCTGCAGGGTACAAGGCAGCTGAGGGCTGTGGGGCGGCCTAGTAGCTGCCCCAGAGTCCCCCATCCCTGGGGCAGATGGGCCGTGGCTGGGAGGTGGTCACCTGCTTCTGAAACTCGATGTTGGCCCAGGTCTCCTCCCTGAACCCAAAGGCCTCCAGCAGCGTGAGGATGTACAGGCCGGAAGCGCAGTAGTCCCGTAGCCAGCGCTCCTGCCCCGGGTAGCTGTCTTCCACCTGGGCCCAGGGCCAGGGGCTGTGAGGCCCAGGGCCTCCCACACTCCCAGCCCGGGGGGCCAGCCCACCCAGCTGGGTGAGCCTCTGACCATGGCAGGTCCTGCCAAAGCCCTTCCCTTGCCCCCTGGGCCATACACCTCGTCACAACCAGAGGCTGGTCACCCTGGGACCCCGGGCCGGCCTCCACCAGGAGCAGGACGGCCCAGGGGCGCCCTCCCTTCCCACGCCCGCCAGCCTGCTGCCTGCTGCCCAGAGGGCTCCACCGCCAGCTCCCATCTGATGGAGTTTCAGAGACCCTGAGGCCCTGCCTGCCCACAGGCTCCTACCCACCAGCCTCCAGGGCCTCTGGCAGAACTCCCAGATGGTGGCGTTCACGGTGCGGAGTGGCTGCCTGGAGGTGAGGTTCAGGAAGTGGAAGGTGTAGTAGAAGTTGGAGAAGGCCTGGGGGCAGAGGGAGAGGCCATGACCAGCCAGGCCGTCCCAGGGACCCACTCCCCAGAGCCAGCCCTGGCTCTTCCTTCCCACTGCCCCCCAGCCCAGGGTGCTCCTGTTCCTTCTGGGGCCAGGCAGCCTCCTAGGGCTCTGAGGAAGCCATCCTGGGTGGGGGCAGCGAGCGGAACTCACGTAGAACTGGCCCTGCACTGGGGGCTGGTAGACCCCGTTGAAGGCACAGTCTCCTGGGCCCTGGCAGCTGGAGAAGTTGAAGAGCTCCCGGATGGCGGCCAGGCAGGCCCCCGGGTTGCCTGTGCCCTCAACAGTGAGGTTCTGGGTGAGGTCCAGCTGGGCTGCCATGTGGACACAGGGCGACTCATAGAGGGAGGCCAAGGGCAGCGTGGTCTGGAAACCGCTGAGGTAGCATGGGTGACGCAGGAGGGCCCCGGGGCGGCTCTGCAGGGTCACAGGGGGCTTGAGCTGCAGCCTGCCTTGCCTCCCGCCCTCCCTGGGCCAGCCTGACCTGCACCAGCGCAGCCAGCAGCCTGTTGAGCATCTGGTCCCGCCCAAAGCAGAGGTAGCTGTGAGTGTAGATGCTGTAGTCGGCGCCGTACAGACGGAAGGTCGCCCGGGTGCTCTCGTCCAGGATGGGGCCGCGGGGCAGGAAGCTGATCTGGGTGGAGGCTCCCCCCAAGTCCAGGGCACCCACCAGCGTCCCCTCTGCAGGCTGGATCCACTCTCCAGAGGAGTACTAGCCACAGACAGGGCCACTCAGCCCTGGCCAGCCACACCCCGCCCAGGCCCTGGCCAGCCAGCCCCACCCTCGGGCTGCCCACAGCACCTTGACCAGCCTGTCCAGGACATAGTTGATGGTGATCCAAGCAAAAGCACCTTCATCCTGGCCAGCCAGGACCTCAGCACCCCAGAAGTCCAGAGGAGACTGGCCCAGGACCCCAGACACCGCTGCAAGGATGTCCCCTGCCTGCGAGCTGTTCTTCTGGCTGGGCAGTGGAAACCAGGGGCCAGGTGGCAGGAAGCCTGGCCCAGCCCCTGCCCACCCTGCCCCAGGGCTCTGAGCCCTGGCTTTTGAGCCTGGTTTACCTGAGCAGCCTCATGCCGGCCGTGGCCCCCAGGAACAGGGGTGTTCCCTGGTACTGGTTCTCTGGGATGAGTGCCAGCGCCTCCTCCAGGCAGCCCTTCAGGCTCTCGCCAGCCTGTGTGGGGTCAGAGGTGTAGGAGGAGATTCCAGGCCCTGAAACATAGCACCCCAAGACAAGCTGCAGCCCCGAAGGCGGGTGGGATGCGTGGTGGCCCCAAAGGTCTGACCACATGTGACAGAGCTGGAGCCCGTGGAGGCCCTTCTGAGGCTCTGAGTGACATGCCCTGAGCTTTCTGGCCTCTCACTTGGAGAAGTAGCTTTTCCCTTGCAGGGTCCTGGAGGGCAGGCCCCAGCTGGTGGCCGTGGTGACACTGGGGGCTCGAGAGGGCTAGAGCTGGAGAGTGGAGGCCGGGATGGGAGCCCCTTGCAGCATCTAGGCTGCGTCAGAACAGGCCCTGCTGGGCCGGCCAGGCTGGCATGGGGGGCGGGGCAGCAGGGCTGTGCGGGTCCCTCCCGTCCCACTGCCCATCTGTGGGACCTTGTGTCAGCCACTTCCTCTCTGAGTCCCTCTCCTCGGGCGGATCAGCGCAGGCCTGCGCCTCCCCCCAACTGGGAGTCCCAGCCAGTCAGCCCCAGCAAGTCCAACACCAGGTAGTGACCCCACCGACCTTCCACCTGGCAAGCCAGGGCCTGGCTGACCAAACCCGTGTCCTTCTCCTTGTCTGCTGGCCACTGGTACACAAAGAGAGAGGTGTGGGAAGAGCCCGCGTCGAACACAATCCCAAACTGCAGGCAAGACTCGGGTCAGGAGGGTGGGGCAGGCTGATGGCCTTGCCCTCCAGCCTCCTCCTCCCCGCCCAGTCCAGGCACCTTTGTGTCTGCGGGCAGCAGGATGTTGGTGGCCTCCACCAGGATGAGGACCAGCACAGTGAGGCCCGAGGCTGTTGCGGTCCCCAGCAGGGCCATGAAAACTCGCTCCTTCCAGGACAGCGCCATGGCAGCTATGGGGCTGGCGTCTGCAGGGCGGGAGCAGCAGTGGACACCTGGACTCTGCCTGCTGCCCTCACCCTGGCCTCCAGAGGCAGGGTCTTCACTCTCCCAATCTCCCTCCAGAGGCTGCCGTCCTGGACTCTTCCTGAGCCTCAGATAACCTACCTCGGCCGGAGCAGCGGCCGGGGCACCATGAGCAGGGCCACCGCCACGCACCGAGCCGGGGGAGGCCACCACTCAGAGGGCCTGTGGCCAGCAGCAGTTGGCTTTGTCTGATGGCACCCTCAGGGCCAAGGCAGGCGCTGTGGGCCCACAGATGGGACTGGCAGAGCCCCCTCCAGATCGGGCAGCCCACTCTTCCCCCCTCAGGACCCTGGTCCCTCGTCACCACAGGAGGAGCCCAGCTCTGGACTAAACCCAGCCCCAGGCAGAGTCTCTCCTGGAACTGAGGTTAGGCCTGAGCAGGTGAGGGCTGGTGGCCCTGCTGACCTGGTGAGGCCAGGTGTTATCCTGGGTGGCTTAACAGACATCTTTCTTTTTGGAAACCCAGCCTTGGAATGTGAATCTGAGACTTTTTGGTTGGCCCCAGAGGGCCTCTAGGCAACTGACCAAGAGTGACCATGAGGCCTGGACATTCACAGCCCTCCTCTGCCCTCAGGGCACAATAGGGTCTCAGTCCCCAAGCTACACAATGCAACCCTGTGCACAGGGCTTACAGGCTGCCCTGGCCAGGCCTGCTTCTGAGCACAGTGGGCACCGCTGCCCTCGGACTAGCTACAGCCAGAAATGCACTTTGAGACTTGGGTAGGTCAGGACCCGACACCCTGTAACCTATCCTGGTCCCTCGGGAAGACCAATGTCCCAGGTGCTTCATCAAGAGGAGTGGCAGGCAGGGCTGGCTGTATGTTCTGACCCGAGGCAGGAGAGGACAGGTAACCAGTCCAGGTCCAGCGTCCAAAACCAGCACCCCCAGCCACCTCACAGGCCTAAAGAGGCCACAGGCAAGGGCCAAGGACACAGAGATTCCACCTCCAGAAATGTAGAAGCTTAGGTTCTACGTCTGAGCCCAGTGAGGAGGAAGAAAGGACAGTCTCCCCTGGACAGCCCCTGCCCAGGATGGCCCTGCCCAAGCCAGCCCCTGCCCAGGATGGCCCCTGCCCAGGACAGCCCCCATAACCAGGACAGCCCCCATAACCAGGACAGCCCCCATAACCAGGACAGCCCCCACCCAGGACAGCCCCCATAACCAGGACAGCCCCCA